TATCTAAAAAATAAATAAAAAAATTATTGACCCTTATTTGGGGCTGGGCTAGGAGAGGTTGGGAGGCTGAACTGGACTGGGAGGCCAGGTTGCGGTGCGTTGAAAAAAAAATTCTACAAATTTTTTAAATTTTAGACTAGATTGCAGCCACCCATACCTAGCCCTATTTTTGGGTTTGCCTTTGTTAACAATCTAAATTTTAATGAATGAGTATTTTTTATTTTTGATCAATAAAAAAGAAACTTGTATTGAAGAACAATGGAAATATATGACAAAGTTCAAGCAACAATACAAGCGAAAACAAAAGCGCATCGCTACACAAAACAAAGGAAAAGTAAAGAAGAATGCAGAAAAAAGAAAAAACAGAACTGCAGCAGGGACAAGACGTGCGGATAGAAAGCTTGGTTTCATTTTTTTTAAAATATTTTTCAGAAAATTTTATTTTTTGTGTTTTTTTGTGTTTTATTGAATTTTTTTAATATTTTAAGATTTTTTTTTAACTTTTTAGACATACCTATTATAATTATACCTAAAAAGTAAAAAAATTATAAAAAAACATTTTAAAAATTTACTAAATATCAAAAATATAAAAATAAAAAAAAATACGAGAACTCAATACATTTTTTGTATTTTTAAGTATTTATTAATTTTTTAAAATATTTTTTCACAATTTTTTTGCTTTTTAGATACATCTAAGTAAAGTGCATCTAAAAAAATAAAAAAATTGTTTAAAATTTTAAAAATATTTACTAAAAATAAAAAAATATGAAAATTAAAAAAATCAATTTTTAAAAAACTTAATCCAAAAAATTTAAACCAAATACACGGATGGTTCTTAGGTTAAGAACGTTTGGTTATGAAGACAAGTCAAATGAAAATTATCTTAGCCAACTATAGGGATAAATCAGTAATATTACATTCTCAATTATTGTTGCTTGTGAAATGAGACTAAAAGGGGAGGTAATTGTCATTTTAAAATTGTGTAGAAAATAGATTATGAAATTATCAGAACCATCATCAATCAAAGTCAATGTTATTTTTATATATTTTTATGTCTCTTTCAGACACCTAACACAGTTTTAGGACAATTTAAAAAAAACCAGAGTCCTTGCTCCCATCATCATATACGTGTCTATGAAGGAAAATTATTTTCTTTTAAGTTATGTGATGCCTCAATTTGATATCAAAAAAAACAACTCCAAGACCAAAACATCACATCATTAATGACGGGACCCACTGCCACCTAATTAGTGGGAGCACTAATTAGTGCTCCCAGGCATTTTTCTTTAAAAAATTTGAGTCATTGCTCCCATCATCATCTGCGTGTTTATGAAGGAAAATTATTATTCTCTTTAAGTTATGCAACAATGATTCATCCCATTAAAAATATCACCACTAATAGCACTAATGTATTAAAAAAGTAAAAAAAAAATATATATAATTCCAAGACCAAAACATCACATCACTACTAGCAGAACCCACTGCCACCTAATTAGTGGGAGCACTAATTAGTGCTCCCAAGCATTTTTCTTAAGTTATGTGAACCAAACTTGAAATCATATATATATATATATATATATTATTAAAAGTAGTTTTTATTTTTTATTTTGGAAGTGGCATATTATAAAGTTTATTTATTTATTTATTTTTAAGAGAGTCATGTATTATTTTTTAATTATATATAAACTTCTACACAAACCTAACAATGATATTATATAATCAATTTTTATGGATTTGTCGTTTAAATTTTATAGTGATTTTATATATGAAATTCTACTTCATTTCTTACATTATTTTATATAATCACAACTTCTGTACAACCATGATACTCTTGAGGAGCTCTAAAATTTTGATTTACTGCTTAAGTTACTTTTTTAATTGTTGAACAGTAAGTTCTTTTATATTTTGACATCATATCATAGATGATTAATTACTTTACACACTGAGATATATTTATCGTTTAGATGTTTTCATTATTTTTTCATTTTGGGTTTAGATGTTGTTATGTGATTTTTTCTTGGTTAATCATTTTAATATTGTTTATTTTACAATCTTGTCATTTAATATATATATATATCATTATATAATAATCCAACTACAACATACTTTCAATTTAAAATTTATATAATTTTTATTTCTACATATTTTTATTTTCCAAATGAATATAAAAGAAAATTAAATAGTTAGAATTACTTTTAATTTTATATTACTAATTCTTCTTCTAATTTAACTATTATTTTTAATATCAAAATAAGTATTTATTTTACTATTTTATAATTTAATGTATATCAAACAAAATTATTATATGATAATGACACTTTTATAATACGATAGAACTAAAATTATTAAAATACACAAATAATTTAACTAAAATTAATATATATAAATATTCAAGTAATAATTTTATAAAACGACAGCGTCAATATTATCAAAATAAATAATTAAAACCATATTTTGATTTTGAATTAAAATGAATTATTTTTTTATAACACACATTGTATTATCAAATATTTTTTGAAAAAAAAATAACACGTACACGAGTCAACGAGTCAACCGCTGGTGTTTCACTATTAAAAAAAAAAATCATAAGAAAATCTAAAAAATCACCATATCATTTAATTTCCTGTCATTTTAATTAATCAAATAGAGTAATAGAACTTATCCTCGCACGCAATACTTGTATAGTTGGGTTGGGTAAATTACATTTGGCCGCGCTCCCTCAAATTTGAAGGAAAAAATAAATAAATAAATAAATAAAAATTCATGACTTTAGCACAATTATAGATAGTAGACTCCTCTTCTTATGTAATGTCAAGTATAAATTTGAATTTGACTTATATTAGGATTCATCATGTTTTTGATTCGATAATCTAAATCGTTATTTTTATAGGACTCTTCATGTATATCATTTATAAAAATAAAAATAAAAATAGATTGATCCTATAATCGTAACATTTTTATTTTATCATTTGTTTTCAAAAAAAATAAATAGTAATTGTGTCTTTGAAAATAAACTATTCATTTTTTTTTTTTTAGACAAATGCAATAAAATAGAAATAATCGAATTAACTTATTTTTTCATTAATGATATACACAAAAAGTTTAACAAAATGAATGGTTTGAATAATCGAATCAAGACCCATGGTGGGTCCCAAAAACCCAAACATAACCGATTGAATTTTGAGAAACTCAATTCATAACTTATAAGGATTATATGAAGACACAAAATTAAATATGATAAAATATACATTTTAAAATTAAAAAAAAAATTTTGATTGCATCATTTTTTTATCTATACAAACAACAAGAGTATCACAAATAAATTTTAGCCATATATTTCTGTGAAGGCTATATAAATAAGAAATAATAATAGTATTACGTTTCATAAAAAAATATTATGAAATGTTTTATGAAAATTTTTCATTTTTTGATTAGAGTTTTATGCTTTGTTGTGTATGTAAATCCAAAGACTAAAGAATCTTCATGAAATATTTCATGATATTTCTTTCATGACGCACGCTTAACATTACTCATAAAAATTGATAAGTGAGTGTCTCAATGGTACTAATGAACAAAATTTAATTTTCTGTACAATTTTTATTATGTACACTCTCATATTTTATATACAGATATTTTAAATTTCGTAATAGGTGCTGTAAAACACCCCCATTAACAAATTCATAAAAATTAAGCTTCATTTAAAGCAATGCCAAAATAATTTTCAGTAGACACTAGCATTACACACTAGCTCATAGATTAAAACAATAAGATTTAATAATTTTGTTGAGTTTTTAGAAATAACTTGACAATTGTCGAGTAATAAAAAGTGTGAAATAATACTCTAAAATTATCAAATAATTACTGAAAGATTGATGTCTTTTCAAACAATAATGATACAGCTCCCTATTTTCGGACCCTTAAATGTGATCCCTAATGGCATGGCAAGCTATCATTGGATAGACTTTTGTGGGATTTTCAAGTGATGTGTCATAAGAGACATCGCGAGAGGTTGGTTTAGGGATCCAAAATAAGGGTCCAAAACATTTACCCTGTTCAAATTTCCATATTTAATGACTCTTGTCTATTTTCAACTCTTCTCTCTTTGTCATTCCATTTCTGTATTTTTTTGCCCCCTTTCTATTGTTTTGTTTGCCAGAAGAGTTAAAAAAAAAAAAAAAAAAAAAAAAAAAAAAAAAAAATTCTGTTTATGTATAAAAATCATACAAAAAGATATTATAAAAATGATTTAATAATATCATTTTGAAAAATAAATATCATCATTACAGATATATTACTCGAAAATATCAAAATTAGGATTATCTATGATATTATGATCTATTTTCGAGTAATAACATTATATTATGATCTATTTTCGAGTAATATAAATTTTGATATTTTGTGAGAGTGATAAAAATAGATAAATTATGATCTATAGATATATAGAGTGATAATTTATATAATATTCATAAGACTATTATATACACAGTAACACAATATATATTAATTTTTGAATGAAAAAATAGAACAGTAAGATTTTATATTGTGTTATTGTGTATATAATATATATTAATTATGATCTAACAACCTAAATTATCATTCAATAATTAATAATTTATATATATTTAATATTTATATATAATTTAAAATTCGAGTTATTTAGTGCCTTTAACAGAGTTCTGTAACGTGAAGAAAACATTAAAATGTAACAATTGTGCCACGGTGGGTCTCCTTTCACGTGGTGAGATTTTATTCATCCACATCGACCAAACCGTGTTCCTTCTATTAAATAGTAATACCACATTATTAGTGATACGTTCGTATAACTAATCAATAAAAATTTTATATAACAAAGGATGCTCCTTTTTGTAGGATGTCACATTTATTTAAAAAATAATAATAATAATAAATGGTTGAATGATAATATTATGTCATTAGTATCATCATTACAATCAAATTTTTTTCTTATGAAACCTTTGTTTTGTCCTACTATATATCTCTCCAACAAGTTCGCCTTTTTTCAGCATCTTGCTCCCTACTAGATAATATTCATTCAACTCTCTCTACTAGATAATATTCATTCAACTCTCTCTCTCTCTCTCTCTCTCTCAGAGTCTTGGGGCCTTCTCTGACCTCTCCCCTCCCTGATATCAACCAGTTCGTCTTGGGTTCTCTCTCCGGTAGACTCTCTACGGCTTGACCATCCATAGAGGTGAAGAAAATAATACAAAAAAAACCTCTTCAAAGGAACCAAGACAAAATCAAGAGGTGCGTGTCCTTGATCCTCCCTCTTTTCAGCTCCTTTGAATCTTGGCTTAGACAATAGAAATAAAGAAATGAAAACAGTAAAAGTACATTAGATTAGGCCATGTTTGATTCGACTAATTAAAATTGTGGGTAAACTATAATAGTTCTTAATAATTAGTTTTAATTCTTATTAGTCCTATTGAAAATTAGCCATAGTAAAATAGTTGTTAAAATAATTTTTTGTAACGATTTTTATATATCGCTAAAAATTGACAATTAGTGACATTTTTATCATGATTTTTATAAATTGTCTCTAAAACTTACAACTATTGACCTTTTTCTATGACGAACTTTTTGAATTGTGGCTGAAAGTTAAAAATTTTTAGTGATATTTTTTTGTAACGATTTTTTAAACTGTCGCTAAAACTTATAATTAGTAACATTTTTTGTAATAAAATTTTCAAACTGTCGCTGAAAATTGATAATTAGTAATTTTTTTTAATAGTGCTGGATGAAAAATGTTATTAATTATCACAAGACAAATTGTATAATAAGTCCATCTATTAGAGCCTTCGTAAGTATCCCTAATTTAGGGAAAATTACCTGCAAATTGTATTTGTAAAAAATTATTACGTATGTGTGAAAAAATTTATAATTTTAACTATTAATATTGATAAAATTTACTATTAATTTGTAATTATTTTTTAACTTATACACTAATTTGAAATTCCCTCAATAATTTATAAGATTATTTTGTAATGAATATGAAAAGAGTATTACGATTTAGGCCCAAAAGTTAAACTCAATTTCTAGATATCAAGAAAATGATTGATTGATAATTAAATCAAAACCAATACCATAATAAATTAGTAACCAAATATCATAAATTATTATGGCTAAGAACACATGGTACACCTCTTTTTAGTTGTGTATTATAAAATTTCCCTTTGTTTTACGTGGTGAACATTGGCAAAATGAACGTCAATATCCACCAGAAAAAAAAAGTACTTGCAAAGATTGAATATTATGAATTTGTTTTTTATCAGAAAAAAAAAGACTTTATTAATAAAAATCAATGTACATGAATATAACACAATATATTATTAAAAAAATGCTCCGTAAGGCTTCGAATGGCCCGCAAAATACAAACACATTTTCTCTTTATCTCCGTCTCTCTCTCAAACTTGACCCAAGAAAGCTATGATGATTGTTCTCTCTCCTCTTTCCAAAACCCACTCTGAAGAAAAGCTTTTCTTCAGTGTTGGTTCCCTGCAAAGAAGAAGCTGTGATGATTGCTCACTCACCAACACTGAATATGACCCAAGTTTATACAGAGGATATGAATCATCTCTCACCCAATTTCCATCAAAAAAATTACAATTCATCAAAGACTCCACCAAATTCTCACTCCCCTGTTTTGCAAACAAACCCACATTAGTCTCATTACTCTATTTCTTACCCTTCTCTGTAACTTTCACATCTTTATTCCCTGTATAATTTTTTCTAACAGGGGAAGATGTTAGCACTGAATTTACAGTCCGATTTTGGCTTCGATTTTATCATGTAAATCTTTACTCTGAGTCTGATTTTGATTTTGGGTAGTGGATGATTGAACTGTGGTGTTTTGGGATCTGGAAGTGTTGTTAGGCTTCAATTTTATCCGTTCCTTTTTTTCATCCATGTCGTTCTCGACTTTCATTCGAAGAATAGAGGCAGCGATTCAACTCTCCTTCGAAGACGACAGTGCTGGTCCACAACGAAGCTCAATCTTACTCTGGTCTCTATTACCAGTTTCAAAGGATAGCAGAAGATAGCTCGAGGTGAAGCTCGATTCAACTCTCTCTTTCTCTCGCCTCTGTTACCGGTTTCAAAAGATAGCAGAAGAGAGAGAAAAAAAAAAACAAGTGTCAAAACGACGCCGTTTTGACACTCCGAGCCAGGTATATTTCGAGCTACTTAACAGGATCCATATTAATGAGAGGAGAGTGCATAAAATATCAAAGTAAAGATAAACAATATCAACTAAATTGACATCAAAAAAACAAATCCAATCATCTACTAGTACAACACCAGCTGTTAGTGAACGTCACAAAACCATTCATAGCCCAACATCAACTCTCTAATTTTCTTCAACATATCACAGTGGTGACATATATTTGGTTGATAATGTGTGATTTGCGATAATATATATTCATGTGATGAGAATATATTATAAATAATAAAATTATTTCTCTTTATAATAACTTAAGTTTTTAAATGAGACAGTGATCAACAATTTAATATGATATAAAAGCAAGTAATAAATTTTGTGTTCAAACATTATTACCTACCCAACAATTAAAATTTTCACACGTAAAAAGTGTGTTGAAAATATAATATAAATAATGAGCTAACGAACAATAATTCATATACATATATATTAAAGATTGTATCGCTGATATGATATATATTCTAATCTTCATGTTCATTATTTATTACATGGTTCAACAAGAAGTACTCATATTACAGCTTTGATAACGAGGGTGGTGTACCAGGCTTCCAGCTTTCCATTGATGACGTAATCTGAATCTTGCAGGGAATATAGATGGCTGGTTAATATGATATAAGAGCAAGTAATAAATTTTGTGTTCAAATATTATTACCTACCCAACAACTAAAATTTTCACACGTAAAAAGTGTGTTGAAAATATAATATAAATAATGAGCTAACGAACAATAATTCAATAATACATATACATATATATTAAAGATTGTATCGCTGATATGATATATATTCTAATCTTCATATACATATATATTAAAGATTGTATCGCTGATATGATATATATTCTAATCTTCATGTTCATTATTTATTACATGGTTCAACAAGAAGTACTCATATTACAGCTTTGATAACGAGGGTGGTGTACCAGGCTTCCAGCTTTCCATTGATGACGTAATCTGAATCTTGCAGGGAATATAGATGGCTGGTGGAGGTGGAAACGAAGGATTAGGATGGGTTTGTTTCTTTGTATTATTATTTTTTGTTTCACCCCAGGTTTGTGGCTTTTTATTATTGTTATTGTTTATATGGTATATATTACAATGTCAACAATGCTAGATAACTCTAATTTTAGAAGTCTAAAGAGAGTTTTATTGATGTGGTAAAAAAAAAAAAATATATAGGCACACACATCATATCACATGTAAACCTCATTCCTTGTCACATTACTAGAGCTCTCTTTAGAGTTCCAAAATTAGAACTCACAATCTTTATTCTTACAAGATCTGTAATATATTTGGGAATATATACCATATATATACATTAACAATTATAATTTTTTTCTTAACAAAAAATGTATCACCAAATATGTGAACATTGTTAAAACAAAAATGTGCCTTCTATGTTAAAGAATGGGCAAGGCATATCTCTTGTTGGTAACTAGAGGTAATGTTGTTGAAATTAAGCTTGATTCAGAGCAAGAGCAGAATTGATTAATCTTCACCACCGTCCATCACTGTGCATTTGGAGGCTACAAAGTCGAGTTGAAATTGTAGAAGAAGACTCTAAAATTAACTAGTTGTAGTTTGAATTTCAATGTTTAGATTGTTTGTTTACAATGTAAGATTAGCCTATAACTAGATTGTGTGGATCATAGTTTGCTAAGAGTGGGAGAAAGAAAAGAAGAGAGAGAAGAGAGAGAGAGAGATAGAGAGAGAGAGAGAGATTTGTAATATATGTTTTATTTGTTGTTTCAAATTTTCTGAGTGAATTTAAATTAAGTTTGGTTCAGTATTAATTCTCTCTTTGTAAATCACAACAAGTGATTTACACCCCACTCCCACCAACAAGTGTATCAAGTCAAAAGATTACCTGAATTTGCAGACATTTTGCAAAATATTCGAAACAGAGCATTGTTCCAAAAACTTGTCCATAAATCAAATTGGCCAAAAACAAAATTTTACTACACCAGATTAAATCTCGCGACGAGAGGAGCATTCTACCAAAAATCGCGTTGAAATCTGACTCCGAAGTGCGGCGCACGCGCCATACGAGCGCCATACGCCGTTCCAAGCGCCACACGCATCTTGCAGAGAAGAAGAAGCGCGAGTCTGCTGACATCATCCAGAAACGTCAGCCTGCGTCATCAAGCTAGGCCTAGCCGATCCAAGGCGCCAAGCCGTCGAGCCGCTGATGTCACTCTGACGTACGTCGATCTCTGGAAATTATCTAGTGCTTTGCAGGACTATGCATCTGATTGATCTAAACCATTAGATTTGTTTTTGGATAGAACTAAGTCATTTGAAGTTTGATTTTGATTATCCAATAGTGCTTTCCAGCTGTTTGGAATATTCCAAACATATCCGTACGGTCAATTTATGCAAATTCTACACCAAAAATTTGCAGATTTTTTTTGAAGATTAAAGTTGTAAAATGGCCAATGGAAGAGCGCAAGCCCTCATTCCAGAGCTTACGAACGACAACCATGACAACTGGTGCATCCGAATGAGAACATTACTAGGTGTTGAAGATGTCATGGACGTCGTGGAAGACAGATTTGCAGAACCCACCTCAAAAGAAGAAGAAGGTGCCTTGCTCGAAGTAGAGAAAACAATTCCTTGAGTCAAGCAAAAGAAGGATTGCAAAGCAAAATCCATGATATATCAAGGTCTTGATGCATCCACATTCGAGATCATTGCCTCCTCCAAAACAGCAAAAGAGATCTAGGAAACTCTCCACGTGTCTTATAAAGGTGCCGATAAAGTAAAAAGGATTCGCCTCCAAACTCTACAAGGTGAATTTGAATCTTTACGCATGAAGTCTTTAGAATCTATTTTTGAATATTATTCAAGAGTAATGGTGGTTTCAAACCAATTGAAGCGGAATGGAGAAGGCCACACTAAATGAGAATATCAGAGAAAATTATGTGATCTTTGGATCCAAAATTTGATTATATTGTTGTTGCTCTTGAAGAAACCAAAGATCTAGAGACTGTGTCCGTAGAAGAACTTGTGGGTTCACTACAAGCCCATGGCTAGAAGGTGTTGAGAAGAAATGAAGACAAAGGGTTAGAACAAGCCCTACAGTCAAAGTTGCCCCTCACTTGAGAGAGATCCGAGCAAAGAGGGACATCGCAACTAGGACATGGATGTGGTCAAACCTATCGTAGAAGAAGTTATGAAAATTCTTAATCTAGAAGAAAAGGAGGAAGAGGTTCATCTCAAGGAGGATGAGGACAACAAAGCTATGTCTCGAGAGACGAAGGACCAGGAAGAAGAGGTGGTTACAATAATCGTTAGAATTTTGATAAAAGTAATGTCCAGTGTTACCATTGCTACAAGTTTGGTCACTACAACAATGAGTGCAGAAGTAAGCAATTATCTAATGAAGTTAGTGAAAGAACTACTTATGTAGAGAAAGAGTCTGTTGATAAAGATTCATTGAGCTTGATGGCCCTCAATGCAACCGAACACAAAGAAGATGTTTGGTTCCTGAACTCTTGAGCTAATAATCATATGACTAGCTGAAAGAGCTTATTCACTAAACTTGATGAGGAAGTTCATGGAGAAATCTCGTTCGGCGACCTCTCCAAAATCCTAGTTCGAGGAAGAGGTGATGTTTTGATCAAGATGAAGAATGGAGATCACGCTTTCATCTCCAATGTCTATTATGTTCCAAAAATGAAGACCAATACATTGAGTCTTGGACAACTCCTTGAAAAAGGCTATCAAATTAGATTGAAAGATATGCTGCTCACAATTTTAGACACTTGAGGGAAGCTGGTTACTTGAGTAAAGATGGCAAAGAACAGAATGTTTCCTCTCACTATTCACCCTAACACACCAAAGTGTCTAAGTGCAATGATAAATGACAAAGACTAGATGTGGCATCTCAGATTTGGACATCTCAACTTTGAAAGCTTGAAGTAGTTGGGAAATAAGAACATGGTGAAAGGTATGCCCAACATTCACTAACCAACTGAGATATGTGAAACCTGTATTATTAGCAAGCAATACAGGAACAGCTTTGGAACGGAAGCAAATTGGAAAGCAACCAAGCCGTTTGAACTAGTTCACACAGATGTGTGTATTCTGTTGAAACTAATATCAAACAGAGAGAACAGATACTTCCTCACTTTTATTGATGATTACAGTAGAAAGACTTGGGGTGTATTTTCTCAAGAGAAAGTCAGAAGTGTTTGAAAAGTTCAAAGAGTTTAAAACTCTTGTTGAGAAGCAAAGTGGTTATTATATCCAAACACTACAATTAGATCAAGGTGGAGAATACAAGACGGATGAGTTTGAAGAATTCCTTATGCATCAAGGAATCAAGCGACAGTTTACACCAGCTTATACTCCTCAATTGAATGGAGTAGCTGAACGAAAGAATCGCACAATCTTGAACATGGCTAAAAGCATGTTACGAGACAAGAATATGCCCAAAAGTTTTTGGACTGAAGTAGTTTCGAGTGTAGTCTATTTGTTAAATAGATGTCCTACAAAATCCTTGACAATAAATATACCGCATGAAGCATAGAGCACTCACAAGCCAGGTGTGAGTCATCTTAGAATCTTTGGCAACATTGCCTACGCCAAAATCCCAGAAACATGAAGAACAAAGCTTGAAGATAAAGGAGAGAAGTGTATCCTTGTTGGATATGGTCACAGTACAATGGGGTACAAACTTTTCAACCCCAGCATAAAGAAAATGTTTTTCAGTTGGGATGTTATTTTTGAAGAAAATGCATCTTGGAAATGGGACGAGACTGAATCCTCCACAAATGCGGAGCTGACAATTGAAGATGAAGAATAAGATTAGTCAAGAGAAGTGGCTAGGGAGCCACCATCACCTAGAGAGCAAGAGATATCTCCTTGTGGTTTTCCTTCACCACAAAGGAATGAAATTCAATCACCAATAGAACAAGAAATTTCAGACATGAAGCCCAGAAGGATTCATAATCTTCAAGATCTATATGAAAATACAGAAATAATGGATGAAGATACCAATCTATTCTGTCTACTGATGAGCAGTGATCCAGTTAGCTCTGAGAAAGCTAACAATGAAGATAAATGGAAGGATACGATGGATGAAGAAATCAAGTCCATTGAGAAGAACAAGACTTGGGAGTTAACCACTTTTGGAAGGCCGCAAAAGCATTGGAGAGAAATGGGTCTACAAGACTAAAAGAAATGCTCAAAGATACAAGGCAAGACTGGTAACAAAAGGCTATAAGCAAAAAGAAGGAATTGACTGTGGAGAAGTCTTTGTCCCTGTTGCTAGATTAGAGACAATCAGGTTGCTAATATCATTAGCAGCACAGAAGAGTTGGAAGATTTACCAACTGGGTGTGAAGTCAGCATTTCTAAATGGATCTCTCGAAGAAGAAATCTATGTGGACCAACCACCTGGATATGTGAAGAAAAACCAAGAAAACAAGGTGTACAGGCTTAAGAAGGCCTTGTACAGATTAAAGCAAGCTCTTCGTGTGTGGAACATGAGGATTGATGATTATTTCCAAGAGAATGGATTTTAGAAATGTCCCTATGAGCATGCACTCTATTTGAAGAAGGAAGTTGATGGAAGCTTGTTGTATGCATGCCTCTACATTGATGATTTGATATTCACCGGGAAATAATCCAACGATGTTTGAATCCTTCAAGAAAAGTATGGTCTGAGAGTTTGAAATGACAGATATTGGATTGATGTGTTATTTCCTTGGCATTGAAATAGTTCAAAGCAATGATGGAATCTTCATCTCCCAGAGTAATTATGCAAAGGATATTCTCAAAAGATTTGGCATGGAGAATTGTAACTGTGTCATAACAACTGTTAAAACAGGATTGGAGTTAAGGAAGAATGATCAAGGCGATGTTGATCCTACATATTTCAAGAGTTTGATTGGAAGTTTGAGATACCTGACTTGTACTAGGCCAAATATGCTCTACGAAGTTGGACTTGTTAACAAGTACATGGAGACCCCTGACCAGTCTCGTCTAATGCAGCAAAGAGAATACTCTGTTAGATCAAGGGTACTATCGATAATGGACTATTATGTACACAGAGTGAAGATTTCAGACTTATTGGCTATTCAGATAACAACTGGGGAAGAGACTTGGATAAAAGAAAGAGCACAATTATATGGTATATATTCTCAGATATATACCATATATACATTAACAATTATAATTTTTTTTTCTTGACAAAAAATGTATCACCAAGAAATATGTAACATTGTTAAAACAAAAATGTGTCTTCTACGTTAAAGAATGGGCAAGGCATCTCTTCGATTGTAACTAAAGGTAATGCTGTTGAAAGTAAGCTTGATTCAAAGCAAGAGCAGAATTCATTAATCTTTACCACCGTCCATCACTGTGCATTTGGAGGCTACAAGGTCAAGATTTTAAGTTGAAAAAGAAGCCTTTGAAATTAATTAGCTGTAGTTTGAATTTCAATGTTCAGATTGTTTGTTTACATTGTAAGATTAGCCTATAAATAGATTGTGTGGGTTGTAGTTTGTTAATAGTGTGGGAGAAAAAAAATAAGAGAGAGAGAGAGAGAGAGAGAGAGAGATTTGTAATATATGCTCTGTTTGTTGTTTCAAATTTTCTGAGTGAATTTAAATTGAGTTTGGTTTAGTATTAATCCTCTCTTTGTAAATCACAAGAAGTGATTTACACTCCACTCCCACCAACAATGTTTGGCCTCCATAAGTTTATTTTTAATTTTTTTAAATCAACAAATAAAACTTTCATTAATGAAAACCAAGAATACAAAGGTGTTACATTAATAGAGTGGG